GGGGCACCCCTGAGAACTGTCTGTCCGGGGTGGGGGTCGGGACCCTTTAAGCACAGCCCTCGGCTAGCTTGAGACAGCATCTCCACGCTCTAAGTCCTCCTCTGATGCCCTGCCGGCACTGCTTCCGGCCATCCTTAAGCCCGGTTCAGGGTCCACTTAATGTGGACATGCTAGTTCGAATTAGCAAAACGCTAATTCGAACTAGTTTTTTAGTCTGGATCCGTTAGTTCGAATTAGCTTAGTTTGAATTAACTAATTCGAACTAAGTTAGTTCGAATTAGCGCTGTAGTGTAGACAGACCCCTACAGACTAAACAGACCCAAATCCCTCAGCCTCTCCTCATAGGTCATTTGCTCCAGCCCCCTTATTATTTTGTTCGCCCTCCTCTGGACCCTCTCCAGGCTTCAAATCCCGGGCTTCATTTGCAAGTGCGGTATGCCTACATTACCCCACTAGTTCGAACTAGGAAGGTAGTGTAGACATACCCTTATTGACAGTGGTTCCAACCCTGGATCTGTTCAAGGAACAATAGTGGTACCCACAATCTACAGGTAATTTGTGCTAATTGATTAACTTTAAACTCAAAAATAAAAATTTACTTACCAGTTTGTGTCCGAATTTCAGCTGAAAAACATAAAAATAATATTTATCACAGTAATACAAGCCTTCCAATTTGCAATATGCACTGTTGCATCTCAGTGTAAAGTAATGGACAGATTGCTCTGCACTGATGTATTTCCATTGCCACGCTCAGGGGCTGTGTCCAGACTCAGGGGTTTTTTCGAAAAAAGTAGCCTTTTTTCAAAAAAACTTCACCTGCGTCTAGACGACAGCCGCGTTCTTTCGAAATTAAATCGAAAGAACGCGGCTTTTCTTTCGACGGCGGTAAACCTAATTCCACGAGGAAGAACGCCTTCTTTCGAAAGTGCTCTTTCGAAAGAAGGCGTTCTTGAAAGCAAACAGGCTTTTTAGAAAGAGAGCATCCAGACTCACTGGGTGCTTTCTTTCGAAAAAGCGGCTTGCTTTTTCGAAATTCCGCGTGCAGTCTAGACGCGCTCTTTCGAAAGAGGCTTGCAGTCTAGACATTGCCAGGGTGTTTCTACACAGCACCTGAGAGGGGCTGATCACCAGCTTTGTTAGACATACATGTGATACCTCTATGGGATAGTGCCTCGAAACAGCAGCCTGGCCACTGCAGCCAAGGTGGTGGCTTGCTCTATCTGTTTAAGTACATACCCAGAGGGTGGGGTGAAACTGAATTTTGGTGCCCAGTCCGAGGAGATCAAGAAAGAAAATTACTCGTTAAAAGAATTCCGTGTTTTGGATGTAATGGACATTGAAGTAACTTTTTAAGAACTGGAGAAATGGTGTGAGGTAAACAAGATGAAGTTTAATAAGGACAAATGCAAAGTACTCTACTTAGGAAGGAACAATCAGTTTCACATATACAACATGGGAAGGAACACTACGTATAGTGATCTAGGGGTCATAGTGGACCACAAGTGAAATAGGAGTCAACAGTGGGACACTGTCGCAAAAAAAGCAAACATGATTCTGGGATACATTAACAGGAGTGTTGTGAGCAAGACATGATAAAGTCATTCTTTTGCTCTACTCTGCGCTGATCGTGCCTCAGTTGGAGTATTGTGTCCAGTTCTGGGCACCGCATTTCAGGAAAGATGTGGAGAAAATGGAGAAGGTCCAGAGAAGAGCAACAAAAATGATGAAAGGTCTAGAAAACATGACCGATGAGGGAAGACTGAAAGAACTGGGTTTGTTTAGTTTAGAAAAGAGAAGACCGAGTGGGGACATGACAGTGGCTTTGAAGTAGCTAAAAGGGTGTCACAAGGGCTGTGTCCAGACTCAGGGGTTTTTTCGAAAAAAGTAGCCTTTTTTCGAAAAAACTTCACCTGCGTCTAGACTGCAGCCGCGTTCTTTCGAAATTAAATCGAAAGAATGTGGCTTTTCTTTCGACAGTGGTAAACTTAATTCCACGAGGAAGAACGCCTTCTTTCGAAAGTGCTCTTTCGAAAGAAGGCGTTCTTGAAAGCAAACAGGCTTTTTAGAAAGAGAGCATCCAGACTCACTGGGTGCTTTCTTTCGAAAAAGCGGCTTGCTTTTTCGAAATTCCGCGTGCAGTCTAGACGCGCTCTTTCGAAAGAGGCTTGCAGTCTAGACATTGCCAGGGTGTTTCTACACAGCACCTGAGAGGGGCTGATCACCAGCTTTGTTAGACATACATGTGATACCTCTATGGGATAGTGCCTCGAAACAGCAGCCTGGCCACTGCAGCCAAGGTGGTGGCTTGCTCTATCTGTTTAAGTACATACCCAGAGGGTGGGGTGAAACTGAATTTTGGTGCCCAGTCCGAGGAGATCAAGAAAGAAAATTACTCGTTAAAAGAATTCCGTGTTTTGGATGTAATGGACATTGAAGTAACTTTTTAAGAACGAGGAACACCAAGGATTTTTGTTGAGCAACAAAAACAAACAAACAAACAAACAAACAAACAAACAAAACTAGTCAGGGGCCTTTAAGGGTGGCCATTCGGTCCGCAACTATCCATACAATATAGTGGGGACTAATTTAGCTATAATTATTCAGAAATATGGATTTTTCACAGCTCTGAGGTATCTTTGTGTGTTGATTTAATTTGTGAGTATAGACATGGCTGGAAGTTTAAAGTTCTGGTAAACTATTAAACATCGCTAAAGGATCACATCCTTCCTGTGATTGGAGGTCCAGAACTGAACACAATACTCCAGATGTGGCCTCACTAGAGCCGAATAAATGGGAATATTCCATTAAAAAATATAAAAGCCACTGTACTGTACAATAGGCATCCAGAAAGCAAACACATATGCTATTGTTAAGCCGGGAGAAAGATGTTATTGCCAGGTGAGGAGAAGATCAGGGGAGAAGGGAAATGATTAACTGTAACTCTTTCCTCTTTCCACTGTACAAGACATCTGTGTGCTGGAAGTCTATTGAGCTAAAAATGACGGACTTACTTAACATCTTCTGCTGTTCTTCTGTAAAAACAAAAAACAACAAAAAAGAAATGTTTACTACTGATTTCAGAACTTTACATCATGGAAGTGCTAAGAAGTTCTCTGTTCTATAACTCTATTCTATAGTTGGGACACTCTTGTATCAACCCTCTCCCCCTCTCTTCTCCCCGCCCTCCTCCCAGCAATTAATATTTTTCTATTGGTAATAACTGTCAGAGTGTAACATGTTGCTTGTGCTTCTTCAGGGCTCCTTCCAAGGAGTGCAGTCTGAAACATCTTAGTTCCTTCTCACTTAAGATTTGGATAAGGGAGCAGGTGGGACTGAGAATTGACAAGAGGTCCACAAAGGCAGGGAGGGGAGAAAATAGGGCAATTGCCCTGGGTACAGTGCTGCTGCTGGTACTTTGACAATAGTTGCCATAGAACACAAGGACACACTGTCGACTCATATCCAGTTTCTTGCCCACTATAATCCCCAGTTCCTTTTCTGCAGAACTGCTACTTAGCCATTCGGTCCCCAGCCTGTAACAATGCTTGGGATTCTTCCTTCCCAAGAGCAGGACTCTGCACTTGTCTGTGTTGAACCTCATCAGATTTCTTGTGGTCCAACCCTCCAAATTGTCTGGGTCACTCTGGACCCTATCCCTGCCCTCCAGCGTATGTAACCCTCACTGAATGAGCTGTGTGTGTGTTTTCAGGGGGGAGGGCATAGCAGCATATCTAGTAAAACACATCCTAAACTGATGTGGAAAGAGATCCACAAAGATACTGATTGTGCCAATACCACTGACCCTCTCATGCAATCTGCACGTGTAACAAAAAGGAGGAGACTGTCTACAAGATTTGCAGATCTCAGTGTAAAAGGCCAGTTGTCTCCTAATATCTAATGGTATACAGGGGCGGATATAGGGCAGGGCAAACAGGGTGGCCGCCCCGGGCCCCACGCCTCAAAAAGCCGCACGCATGCACCGTGGCGCCACTGCGCATGCGCATGGTGTCACTGCGCATGCACTGTGGCAAAGGGGAATTATGCTACCCGGGGCCCCGCAAAACAGTCATCTGCCCCGATGGTATACTTTGTGAAGCCGAGACTGAAAAACCTCTAGGGATGGAGACTCCACTAAATCCCTTGAGAACTCATTTTAATGTAGGCATTCGAAATTGCAAATGAAGCCCAGGATTTAAATATCCTGACCTTTATTTGCATATTCCCATCCGGTCGCCATTTTTAAATTCCCCGTAGTTCGAACTAACTGCCCGCGGCTACACGCAGCATTAAAACGGTAATTCGAACTAAGTCCTTAGTTTGAATTAACTGTTACTCCTCATTTTAAAAGGAGCAATCTCTCATATGTGCTATGTCCCAGACTGGAGAATGTCAGAAGAGAATGGAGAAGTTTAACTAAATATCTTTCATCTTTCCATTGTACTAGACACCTGTGTGCTGGACTTACCTATTATCTCATGCTGGCTTTCTGTAAAAAAACAACAAAACGAAATGTTAACTAATATTTACAGAAACATGCATCATTAAAAGTTGCCTATATGTAACCTATGTTTAGAGATATTCATGTACATATGAACTATCACGCACGCATTGGTATCCGGCCCTTTGAATTTGGAGATCTTTCCCTTATCAGCACCTGTCATGCCAAAACGTGACACACTCTGCATCATCATGGACCATTTGAAGGGTATAAAAAGGCAGTGGATCTTGATACATCTCAGGAGTCTTTATTGCATATGAGAGTCTGGCTTAAGATTTCTTGTTCAAGAGAGCATCCACACTGCCATGGACTCTCTTGCACAAAAGCAGATGGCAGTGTGGACGTGCTCTTGTGCAAGAACTTTTTGCACAAGAACTCTTGCACAAAAAGTTAGTTGAAAGAAGCCTGCAGTGTAGACGTAGCCCTGGTGAGCTGCAGGTCAGAGACAGAGTCAGGTACAAGCTAGAGATCACAGCCAGAGACAATGTCAGGTACATGACCGGGGCAAGACCTGGAGACAGCGTCAGGGATATGGCATGGGAATATGGACCTGGAGTGGGGCAGCACAGCATGAAATAAAAGGGATAGGGAGTACAGGACCTAGGAGCAGATGGGGAAGCAGGAACTGGGAGCAGACAGGAATGCAGGGCTCAGGAATCAGCTAAGCAGGAGAGGTCAATTGCAGCAGCCAGACAGAGAAGCCTCTAGTTGTTTAGTCAATGTCCTGTTCTTATTTCCTGGATTATATAGAGCCCTCTCAATTGGGGGGGCTGCATATTTTCCCCCATTTTCAGTTTATGGAGGGCAGATTCTGTGAGCTAACCCTTTGCTAGACCATTTTCAGGGTGCTCAGGTGAGCTGCAGAATGGTTTTCAGAGCTGAACACCCACACACTCAGGTTTGGGGCTTCAATCTCTCTCATTGACATGTGACATTGGAACCCTCATTGAATGAGCTGTGCGCAAGAGGGCTTAACCCTGAGCCGGAGCATCAGTGTATTTGTGCAAGAAGCACTGATTTTATACATTACAAAGTCAGTGTTCTTGTGCAAATTCAAGCAGGCAGTGTAGACAGCTGGCAAGTTTTTGCGCCCTCGTGAAATGAGGGTTACAGGAGTCGGAGTAAGAATTCCTCCAGCTTGACATTACTTTGATATAATGGCTTGTTGTGTAGACCTGCTCTTTGTTATTTCAGGATAACTTTAGTTATTCCAAAATAATGCTGCTGTGTAGACCTAGCTTTCTGATAGGGTTGGGGGAAGACAGGACAATCTTCTGGCAGAAAGACCAACAACCTCTGGACATGAGGCCTGATTTCCAGCAAATTTTAGGGCTTTTCAGTGATTCCAGGATGCTCTCCAAACTCCTGTATGATGTCAGAAACCACCAAGATCACTCCAAACTGGAGAATGCAATGAAAGGCCCCTGGATATTCCAGCAGCGATTTCCACCCAAGGGGTTGTTCAGGCCTTTCACTATTCTGGCTTTTGTCCTTTGGGCAGATTATGAAACCTCACAGATTGTCAGAGACACAGAGAGTTGCTTGGTGCAATCTAAATGGGGAAATGACTGACCTATCCCCCTCTCAAGTACAGAAGTCACAGCAACACACCCTTTTCCTCCTCGTGCTGGGCTGCAAAAGGAAAACAAAATGTAGGTGCTTTCTTATTATCAAATGAGGGGCAGATTGAATGGAGAGTGAAGGAGATCCTTTATTTCTGTAATAGCAGGAACATTAGCCATGCTGTAGCCAGACAGGAACCCCCCCTTGTAACATCCATTTTTGCTTGCCTGGAGCATGCAGGGCACACAGAACAGAAGGCCCAGACTGCAGTGACCATGAATGGCTGTAAACAGAGATATGCCAATTGCTGACCAAGAGGCTGCTGAGGAGTGCCCTTGACACAAACCCATATTGATACGAACACACAGCCGTCCACGGGGGAGGAATCTCTTGCCCAGTAAAAAAAGTCTAGTACGCACAATTTAGTTATCTCTCTTGCAAGTGTAAATTAACTTGAAACTTGCTTGTAAGAACTGGCGCCACAAAACGGACCAGTACAATTTGGCATCTTAGATAAGAAAGAGGATATGGGCCCCCAGGGGTATAAAGATGGGTCCAGGTGTAATAAGCTCTTCCTATAAACAGGGGCATCTGTTGGCCTGCTGGCTACCCTCTGCGACGGGACCCTGGTCCTAGCAGTAAAGACACGGACATTAAACCTTTCCTCAGTATACACACATACACTGCCCTGACCGTCGGCTGACACATGCCTTTGAGCATTAAGGAGCCTTCACCAGCTATTGAATCTTTGAACTATTCACATGTCTATTCCCAAAATTCTGAAGACTGGAGACAGATTTGATTCCAATGTATTGTCAATAATTTGGCAAGAACTTTCATGGTCACTATTAAATATCAATATCTCTGTGACCCACAGTTCAAGTCTCCTGATATGGCATCAAACTATTAAAAAAGTAATGATATTCTTATGCAACAAATTATGTTTCAGTTTTAATGAACTATGCCATTAATATGTACATTATCTTTCACACAGTAACTGATTTCTGGAGAGTTGTGTTCCAGGGAGAATAGACGAAGTGGGTCTTTGCCCATGAAAGCTTATGTTCCAATACATCTGTTAGTCTATAAGGTGCCGCAGGACTCCTTGTCACTTTTGCAGATCCAGGCTAACACGGCTACCCTTCTGGTACATGGAAAATAGGCAACTTCCTTTAAAAAATGTCATCTTATATAATCAACACCCATTAGATCTAGCAAATATTCACATATGCTATTGGCAAGTCATGCACAGGGCACCATAAAAGTCATGAGAAAGCAGAGAAGTTTAACCACAAATTATTTCACCTTCCAAACTACAAGATTACTACATATTGACCAGAATGCACAAAAGAAAAGTGAGACTGAAACTTACTCAGTATATTCCTCCCTTGGTCTCCTGAAAAGGAAACAAATATATAGTGTTAGTGTCAGAAACATCCATCGTTAAAGGGACAGACGGGAAAGTAGCTCATTGAGAAAAGATATTAGAGATTCCATTGTGTTAAATTGCCCTGTGTGTGTAAGAAATAAGGGCAGGAAGAAGGAACAATGTACGTCATTCCCTCTTCCCTGGAACAGAGAATTTTAACAATCAATGATTTCACCTCTGCCCTATAGATTACTGGGGATTGACCTGAATATTCCAAAGAAAAATGAGATATAGAGTTACATGATTTATTTTCTTGCTTCTCTAAAAAAGAAAGAAATATTCAATATAAATTACAGAAATTTCCATCACTGAAGACAGGAAGGTAGCTAACAGGGAAAAGTTACTAAATTCCATTGAGTTGTGTTGCCTTCTGTGTACATTCAGTGAGGGCAAGAAGGAGGAACAACATGTGTTATTCCCACTTCCCTGGAGCAGAGAATTTTAAGAAGAAATTATTCCCACCTCCCACTTTACAAGATTCCTGTTCATTGATCTGAAGGTATGGAAGAAAAAAATGTCACAGACTTACTTATTTCCTTCTTTTGTCTGCCTGAAAGAAACAAACAATATTCAATGTTAGTGACAGAAACTTCCATCATTAAAGGGTAAGACAGGAAGGTAACTAACAGGTATAAGTTGGATACTTAGATAATTGTAAGGCAAATGCTTCAGAAACCATTTCTTAAAACAATATAAAGTTACCATTTATCACACAGTTTGTCACCCAGTAACAGAAGGTGAATATAATTGGTGCGTGAGAAATTTCAATATCATCTTGATATCATGAGTTCAGGCAATTTGTGCAAATTGCGATAGTGGAAGAGCAGGCAAATAATGCTTTTATGTATAACTGATGACCATCTTGCCACGGAAAATATGCTAGTTTGTCATCATGTATCTAGATGCCATCTTCATATAAATGGAAAGTGAGGAGCTCCACAATCATCATGCATGCATACGCTTGGGGAAACTAAAAAATGTAAATGTAATAAGGACCCCATGGAATTTTTTAGTTTTATCATCTCATCTGAGGGACTCACCAGAGATCCATGGAAGATGACAACAGTTTCCAACTAGGCCACACCTAAGGACTTATAAAGGGTGCAGTAATTCTTGGTCCTCGCTACAGGTGATTTATTAAATGATTCTCTAAGGGTATGTCTACATTAGCTTCCTAGTTCGAACTAGGGGGCTAGTATAGACATACCCCTGAGTTAGTTGCATCCATTATAGAGCTTCTGTCAAGATTCACATGTTCCACAGGGGTGTAGACAGTCTTTGACTGAACAGAGCATTAATGTTGCACCTTTCCAGGAAGCAATTCCACTATTTTGATTCCTGGGAAGGAGAAGGGGGCATGAATCATGATTGTGTGTCTACATTTTTCAAAATGTTTTTACTTCAGAATAAATTAATTTATGTCTCTCTTCTGGATGAGGGAAATACTCAGCATTCAGTGGCAACCTATGCCTGGTTTACACTAGAACAGAAGGTCAACATAAGGTATGTAACTCCAGTTATATTAATTAGATATCCGGAGTGTATTTTAAATTCTCCCCCACACAGCAGGAGGTCAATAGGAGCAAAATCTCCCACTGGATTCCCTTACTTCTCATGAGGAGCAGGAGTCCCAGCACCAATGGTGTTGCCCGCTCAGTTCAAATTAGCGGGTCGTTACTAGATCCACTAAATTGAACCCCAGAAGATTGACCGTGGCAGCATCAATCTTCCATGTGGTGTAGATATGATCTGACTATTTTCATCAGGACTTCAGCCTGAAAAATAACAATATATTTTATACGTGTAACTGAGAAGAACTGAGACCACTGACAAGGGAGAGGGAAGTGTGCTCTTCAGCCTTATCTATGCCTTAGCCTTCTGCCGAAAACAAGATTCTATCAGTTTTACAAGTGGAATCTTCTCCAGTATGAATAGAGAGAAAGCATTATCTAGCTATTGCTTTAGTAGTCTAGGACCTGATTAGCATGAACCCTGTGTAGGACTCAGCTCTACTGAAGATGTTGGAAGAAATTCTGAAGCAGAATACAGATGCATTCTCTAAAAATGATCTAGACTTGGTCTGTCCTTCTACAGTCAAGCATGAAATAGCCCTGACTGATATGATTTCTGTGCGGCAGAGGACGCCTACAGCAGAATACCAGAAAGTCCACAATCACTTGCAGGAGATGGTGGAGGCAGGAGAAATCAAACCGAGTCAAAGTTCTAACGCTTCACCAATAGTTGTAGCAAGGAATAGAGATGGTTCTATGAGTATCGGCTACAGAAAGCTGACTGCTAAAACTACTTGAGATGGATTTCCTCCGCTCTGTATCGAGGGAGTTCTAGATGCCTTAGAATGAGCCAGATATTACTCCATACTAGATCTTTTTATTTGAGAAAACTAATAATAAAGTTTGATTAGCTAAATATATTACTGAAGAACTTTATATATGAAAAAATATCCAGAAACTTAGTTCAAATTATTTTCTGAGCTATAGGAGTTTACAGAGGAATTTATAGAGAATAAATTCAGTGACTTCCACAGAGTTATCTTCACAACAACTTTTCTGAAATAAAACTGGGCCTTTTATTTTATCTAGTCAAGTCCTGTTTTTGACAGTTGGAAGAAAAGGTATGGAATGTGATCTCATCTGGAATTGTGCAAAATGAAACAAACAAATAAAAATAACACTTGCAGTTAGTAGAATAAAACTGTTTGTGAACTTACGGAGAAGTTGGTTCAAAATTTTGGATGATTTATTCTGATGAGATGTGTGAGACTGTCCATGGTTCCTTACAGCCATGTCTACACTAAGAAATTATTTTGAAATTACTAAATTCGACATATTACAGATTTAACAAATTCAAGCTTGCGTGTCCTCACTTTGCGGAAACATCAAATGTAGCCCAAAGAAGACTATGGGTATGTCTGCACTAGCCCCCTAGTTCGAACGAGGGAGGCTTATGTAGGCATTTGAAGTTGCAAATGAAGCCCGGGATTTAAATATCCCCGGGCTTCATTGCCATCTTCCCGGGCGCTGCCATTTTTAAATGTCCCTTAGTCCGAACTCCATGCCCGCGGCTACACGCTGCACGGAGTAGGTAGTTCGAATTAGGATCTCTAATTCGAACTACTGTTACACCATGAGTTTAGCATTTGCATTACTTCTCATGAAAAGCAGAAGTACAGAGTTCAAATTCCATGGCCTATTATTCCAAAATAACAGGCTTGGTAGCATGGAGTCACCTCTTACAAATTTGAACTTGGGGGTGGAGGTATTACGGACTAAGGTCCGGACCTGGGATCTCGAGAGGTGTGCTGCTTACTGGGAGCTCGAATTCAGGATGTGACTGAGAGGCTTACAAAACTGATCAAACCTTTGGATCTCTACCCCTTCCTGCTTTTCCATGTGGGTACCAACGATACAGCCAAGAATGACTATGAGCGGGTAACTGCAGATTATGTAGCACTGGGAAGAAGGATCAAAGAATTCGGAGCACAAGTGGTGTTCTCGTCCATCCTCCCTGTTGAAGGGAAAAGACCAGGCAGGGATCGTCGAATTGAGGAAGTAAATGCGTGGTTGAGCAAGTGGTGTCGGAGAGAGGGCTTTGATTTCTTTGACCATGGGACTCTGTTCCGGGCACAAGGATTGTTGGGAAGAAATGGGATCCACCTAACCAACAGAGGAAGGAGCATCTTCGCGGGCATACTTGCAAACCTAGTGAGGAGGACTTTAAACTAGGTTCGTTGGGGGATGGTGATCAAAACCCTGAGGGGAGTGGGAATGTCGGATACCGGGAAGAAATGCAAAGAGGAATGAGCAACAAAGGAGGACCCCTGATTTGAATGGAGAAAGTAGGGCGATCAACTGGTTATCTAAGGTGTTTGTACACCAGTGCAAGAAGCCTGGGTAACAAACAGAAAGAATTGGAGGCCCTGGCCCAGTCCAAGAAATATGATTTAATTGGGATAACAGAGACTTGGTGGGATGACTCACATGACTGGAGCGCTGTCGTGGAGGGGTATAAACTGTTCAGGAAGAACAGGCAGGGGAGAAAAGGAGGAGGAGTTGCACTATATGTAAGAGAGCACTATGATTGCTCAGAACTTCGCTATATAGAGGGAGAAAATCCTGTTGAGAGTCTATGGGTTAAGTTTAAAGGTGCAGTGATGTTGTAGTTGGTGTCTACTATGGGCTTCCTTTGTCGACTCATCTGCGTCTAGACTCCCATGCTGTTCCGGATCAGCTTCATTGACTATGTCAACAGAGCCATGTAGTCTAGACATACCCTAATAGGGAAATATTTTGAAATATCTTCCCCCCCCTTATTTCAAATTTTTAAGTGGATTTATAAGCATCGATCTGGGTGCTTTAATTAAATCTTTTTGTTTTGCCTGCTACCCCACTCTGAACCAGGGCCTAGGCTTTGAACTGTTTGTTTCTCTGCTTTCCCACCCTGAATCCATGTCTGGGCTTTGAACTGGGACAGGGCCTGAGAATTGGTTGTTACTATTACTCCTACCCGAACCAGGGTGGGGATTTCTAGCCTGTTAATTATAGACTGCTATCTGGGCTTTGGACTATTGTAGGATTGAAAGCCCCAGCTGATTTCCCACAAGAACTAAGTGGTGGGCAATGGGGCAGAGTGGCCACACTTTGACCCAGAAGGGAGGAGTCCCTCTCTGAGGCCTATTGAGCTATATACCATGGAGAATATGGACATGACCCAACCCCTGACAAAAAGGGGTTTAGTCACTACCTGTAAGAGAGAGAAAAAGAAAAGAGAGAGAGAGAGAGAGAGAGACATGGATATAAAAAAATGTAAATACTAGACTGAGAGCCAACAGCAACAACATCAGCAATTCGTACAGCATCTGGGTGTACAGCATCAACAGCAGCAGCAGTTGATGCAGAAGATGGGCATCCAAAAGCAGCAATTCCTCCAAAGGCTAGTGACTCAGCAACAGGAAGTACAGCTACAAGGTTTCTAGCAGCTGGCCTTCCTTCAGTCCTGACCAGACCAAAAAGCATCTGGGGCAACAGGAGAGCCACTGTTACCCACCGTACCAGTATGACTATCCGAAATGGGGCCCAACGATGACCTTGAAGTCTTTCTGGAGACATTTGATTGAATGCCAGCCACAAGAATAGTGGACCACTCTCCTGGATCCCTAACTATCAGGGCCCTGCCCAGATGCCCTATTGAGAACACCCTGTTGAGGAGTCCTAGATTATGGAAATGTGAAGGCCTGATCCTAGATACCCTGGATATTATGCTGAAGACCTTCCGGTGTCAGCTCCAAAGTATAAGGTGTCCCAACTCCAAGTGGTAGCTCAGGAAATTAAGAGTCTTGCTCGATGATGACTATGCCCAGAATGGAACTCCACCAAAGTAATTGTTGAGCAGATCACCCTGGAACAATTCATTCAGATCCTCCCATTGTGGGGGTGGGGATGGGCATGGGTCATTCGGCACCATCGAGCAACACTTGGTGCCGCCATTACCTTCATAGAGGACTACTTGGCAGCAAATGGGCCCATTGAGTTA